GGGGGGGGGGGGGGGGGGCTCAGCAGTACAGGATGGGTGGGTTGTTAAAGGGGGGTGACGAGACGTTTTATTGTTTGTGTGCAGATGAGTGGAATGGAGGTGATTGAGGCTCCTTCGCAAGTGAGGAACGGTCTAAACGTTCGGTGGCACTCAGCGTCAATCGCGCATTTCGTCTCTCCGAGGCATGACCGTCTTAAGTCATCCTAGTGGGCGATATTGCCCCACATACGGTGACGCACAAGTTTCTATTCCATAGACAGGATGCATACTTGTTCGACGAGCAAATCTTGCATTGTTGGTGCCCCCGTCGGTAATCTCTGGCGATAGCACGCCTCGACCACATCTCGCAGCACCAAACACTCGCCAACTACCGCTTGCTTGATCTCTTGCTTCCTGTCCAAGCAGGTGGCAACCAAACGGCTGTGGGCGAGCAGCCTGAAGCTCTCGCAAGACCGTGAGGACCTGGCCCACTTAGGGGTCGCTGCGACCGTGGTTCAGCGAGCTTACAAGGTGGGAAAGAGGGCGGGGAGCCGCGGTAGGGACTGGGGGGGGGGGGGNGCCGGCGGTGCTCAGACGACGAGAGAGACAAGTTTTACAGGAAAAAAGTCTGAGAAGACAAGGGGGGGGGAACCTATCACGACTACTCGGACTACATGAAACGTTGATCCTACTAGTCGTATAGTCGTATTCGGTCAATGTAGAAAAGTGACCGGAGGTACAATGTCCCCCAGATTTTTTTCGGCCCCCCTGAGCGGTACAGAACCGCGCAAGGGGGGGATACAGGGGTCGCAACTTTGCGAGGTGTGAACGGTGGATTAGTCAGCAGTGGGAAGGGAAAAAGGGAAGTTCTAGCAGGACACTACAAGAGACTTGGGGTGCCCTCGGAGAATGAAGCTTTTGACCAAGTGTCCAAGAAGGAGGTGGATGCATGGGCCCAACAAGAAGAGACATCGAAGGCAGACGTTGGGAACGTAGAACTAGAAAAGGAGTTCACTGAGGACGAGGTTGAGGCGTGTGTGAACAAGCTGAAGTGCCACAAAGCAGCAGGAGNTGTATTGGTGAAGGAACATAGCATTAGGGAGGGCCAGGCAGGTTTCCGAAAGAAGAGGGGGTGCGTAGACCACGTATTCACGGTAGGGAGAATCATCCAAGGTAGAAAGAGGGCGGGAAAGCCGACGTACTGCTTCTTCCTGGACGTGAAAAAGGCATACGACACCGTATGGAGAAATGGGTTGTGGAAACAACTGTCCAAATACGGGATCAAGGGGAAAATGTGGAGAGTGCTGAAGAAGATGACAGAGTGTACGAAAAGCGCGGTCATGCTAGACGGAGAACTGTCAAAATTCTTCGACATTGAGCAGGGGGTCCCACAAGGTTGCACGCTGTCCCCAACATTGTTCCAGGTGTTCATCAACGATCTGTTGGAAGTCGTAGAGGCAGTCCGGAAGGGAGTAAAAGTAGGGGACACGGAAACGTCGGTTTCAGGAATGCTGTTTGCGGATGATTTTGTCGGTATGTCGGACACCCCTGAGGGACTGCAACTGCAAATTGACGCGGCGAAGAAGTTTACTGATAAGTGGAGATTGTCTACTAACGTTAAGGATAGTGCCGTCATGGTATGCAACGAGAACAAGGAGGAACCAGCTGAACATAGATGGAAGTGGGGGATCGAGGAGATTGCAGGAGTGGACCAGTACACATACCTCGGAGTAGAGATCGCAAAAGACTGCTCGTGGAATGCACACATGTCCAAGGTAGCGGAAAAGGGCAAAGCACGAGCAGGGAAGCTGCACCCAATACTCGCAAACCGGCACCTCGATACACGCATCAAATTGACGGTTTTGAAGAGCGTAATCGTACCGCCGCTAGAGTACGCCGGAGAAGTATGGGAAGGAAATAAGAAGGTAGTGAAAGAACTCGAGGCGGCGCAGATGAAAGCAGCGAAAACCATCCTAGGATGCTCCAGGCGCACAAGTAATGCAGCCGTGAGGGCAGAATTGGGGATCCAATCCCTACGGTCGGGAAGAGACGCGAGGAAGCTGACATGGCAGTATCGCATGTGCGGGATGGGAGAGGAGAGGTTGCCGAGAATTGTATGGGAGGCGAAGTGGGCAAACAAAAAGAGAGGTAGACAACCCACGGAATGGGTCAAGGTTGTAGGGGACGTATGGGAGGGGCTCGACATCGACGAAGATGAAACGCTGGAAACGGAGGGTCTACAGGGGTTCAAGGTGAAAATATCTGTTGCTTGTTCCGAGAGAGAAGAACAGAATATAAGGAAATAATCCAAGGATAAGGAGGGTCTAGAGGTGTACGGAATGTTGAAGGAAGGAGTAGGGTCCAAGGATTACCTACATGGACTAATGGATGCAGGAACAAAGCTTAAGGTCAAATTCAGGACCGGGGACATAGGCCTTCGAGAACGTGGACGAAGGCATAGGACCGTAGACGACGAAGACGACGAGTTCAAATGTGATTGCGGCTTCGAATGCGAAGACCGTGTTCATGTAGTCGCGGAATGTCCGTGGTGCAAGAAGGAGAAGGAAGTGTACGTGACTGAGCTGGGAAAAATAGATGGGACGTACAGGGAGATGTTTGAGGCTTGGAATAGAGAGGAAAGGACGGTAGCTGTAGTGGGGCATAGGAGGTGGGTTGAAAAGGCGGGAAGGGATATCGTTAGGATAGACAGACTAGGGAAGCCATTTTTGAACCACCTTTGGCAAAGTAGAAAGGAACGATTGGCCATCGATGATCGGTCCTGTGGGAACAATGCTCCGTCTTCTCGAGGACGCGTGGTCAATGGTCTAACCGCTAAGGCATACAAAACATAAGAGTCCGCCCCCCGCTCCCCCCCCCACCTGCGTGGTACAGCAGTAGTTTTAAGATTGGTTCCAGAATGGCAACAAGAGTTCCACTCATCAGACGTCCGTACTTGCCGCAACTCTGTATACCCTTGTATGTTTGATCGTTATTGTTTCAAATCCTTCTTCGACGCAGGCGTACACCAATCGAAGGATGTTCAAGGTGTTGCTTTCGATCCGGCGGGTGCACTTGAGACTTTACATGGGCATGAACATCCGCCGGAAGCAAATGGTGAAGAGTGCGGTCGTAAGGTAGTTGTAGCTGGCGGTAGCGGTCACTACAGTAACATCCGCAGAACACGTAAGAGCGACAAAAAATACGAGACGAAGGGTAATTTCGTAGCAGTTTCTCGCTTGCGACGACGTGTTGCCGAACAGCGGCGGAAATCCATCGAAGACTGAAAGAGCAAGCAATGGCGGGTAGATGCTTGCAATGTACTAGCGGACAGATGCTTGGTACTAGTGGACAGAACCTTGCTGCCACCAAACAATCTAACGACGCAGGCAACAGATGAAGTTGTGCACACCTTAACGCCAACAACCGGCATGTCTTGACGTTGCTGTCGAGAGCAACACCCTCCAACTTCTCAACGCAACGTCGCATAGAGGCGTTTGCGTCTCAACAAATAGGCATTATGACAAGTAGTTTCCATACTCTTGAACCGTTTGCCGAACCACCACGAATCCCCCTCCGGCAATAGCTCTTGTACTCAGGAGCCGCTCCACAATTCTTCTTTTCGCCCTGAAGGCGGTGACAAAGATGCAGTGGTTCTTGGCAACCGGCAGCGGGGGGCCTAAGGCGAGGCCACGCAAGGTGATCCGGGCGTTCATGTACCAGGTCCGGCGCTGCCAGCGAGCCGCGAGGGAGTGGCTGGCGTGCCGCGCTGCCACGTAGGTTGTTGGTGTTTTCTGTTGATGTCGATGTTGACCGCTAATAATGTTGTTCTTGTTGTGGAAGTCGTCGCTGTCATCGTTTTTACTGCTCGAGTTGTCATTTCGATTATCTTATAGAAAATGTCCCGGCCTACTCTCTGCCGTCGTCACAGGCTTTCCAACCCCGAAAAGTTGTCCAACAACCCAGAAATAGCTGTCCCTCGCCAGAGAGGGTTTTTCAGCAGAATCAACTCCAGACACAGGCACTACTGCTGCATGAAAAGCTGCAGCGTTTAGTGGCTTTCCGATGCCTGATTGCCATCTCTACGACCCACAACCTCCGCGGACCCCCCTCGCCCGCCCCCCCCACTCCCCGCCCCGTCGTGCTTTTACATGGCCGTACATCTCCGTTGTTCGATTGATCATTCCCCGGCCCGTACACCGCGTGTTTGGCATCTCTGCCCGGTTTTTGCCCGGCCGGGTGGACGCAACAGTATCGAAGCCGTCTGTCGGCTGTGGGACCGAATAGAGTCAGAGGTGAGAGATGGCACTGGCGGCAACCTCTCATAATGAAGACGCGTCGAAACAAACGTCGTAAAGAAACAATCTCCCCAAAGTCTGGTTAAGCCGCAATGTACTACCACCGGTCGCCCCGGTGGTCTAGTGGTATCCTCGTATTCCGCCAGTCGCAGAGGTCGTGAGTTCGAATTCCCATGGGGTGAAAAATTTACGAAATGTGCGGGTGAAAGCGAAATATAGCTGACAAGCTCTCGTGAGTACCAAACTTCGACGTTAGCACCGTTGACCAGGGGAAGGGACGGCTGGACCCTTCTCGCGATAAAAATAAAACTCAGCACGCACCGCAGGAGGAAGGTGGGGCATGAAAAGAAGCGAAAAGAAGAAAAAGCCCTGGTGTTTACCCCCTCCTGTGTGACCCTGGATGGTGGTAGTTAAACGAAAAAATACACTGAAAAGTGTAGCACTCTACATACGCTGAAAAGTGTGGTACACGTCTCACCACGAAAAGTGGGGGGACTGTCGCTATAATGAAAAGGACGAAAACACAAACACTCCGCGAACAGATGGGACACTGCCGAGGCTCCTCAGCAAGTGGCGAGTGCTGCTCCATTTCCTTTGTGTTTGATTGACTACATAGACTATGTGTTTGCAGGTTTCGACCCTTGTCTCGAAAAATAAAAGTCAGGCTCAGCCTGAATTTTGAAAAAAAATGCTGTCTGACTGTGAGCACCGAGGTGTTAAGGAGGACCCGATTCGCAGGGTATCCGTCGATTCACTTTTACCTGAATCGGTACACCTTCGCATATATATGGCGTCAGCTGGATACTGGTTCGAACCTCCTTGGGTGCACACTTTTTCTCCTGACTTGGATATTTTCCCATGGACACAATGTGTGTTCATCCTGAGAACACCTCTTGGAGTCGATCCTACGAAGAACCTTGTGACACTTCCATCGAATTACCCATCCTGGCCACAAGAGGTTCCCAGTTGAGGGTAAATTCTGTGGGCGGAGAGTGTTAAGGAGGACCCGATTCGCAGGGTATCCGTTGATCGACTTTTACCTGAATCGGTACACCTTCGCAGAGGCGAGTCTCACGTTGTTCAAGCGAGTAGGAAACACCCTGAATATGTTGCGTGCAGCGTATGATTGAGCACCATCGGTCAATAGAAACCGCAACAACGATGAAGCAAGGCGTACTGGTCTATACCTCTGTCCAATGAGTCACACGTTGACAGTTTCTTAATACACTTGGCATGCTCGCTGGTCGCTGGAAATGGATGAGTTCGCTGTTGTCAGAAAGAACCCCCGCGAAGAAGTCTGCCCGCCGCCGAATAGGCTGATGGTGCATGTGAATGCCGTTTTGGTTTGTGGTGTCTCTTTCTCTATGCATCCTCGCCGTCTGCACTACATGGCAAACAAGAGGAGATTATTGTAGACGGCATCAGAAGCCAACCAAGGGACGACAACCTCCCTGCCCGAGGAATACCGTTTGTTCTAGCGGCTCCTGCCGCCATGCACTGTGTGTGACCAAACACTGGCCACCGCCCAAATACCCAAACGAGTGCCGACGAGCGAAGCGGGCCTCGACGCCTCCCATATCCACTCCAAGTCGAACCCGCCAAAAACAGACGAGTGCACTGTGGAAATTGTTCCGAACGCCCCTGAGAACGACAAGAGAACACCTTCAAAATCCGCGCGCACCATGACAAGTGTTGACAGACGCACAAACATTGGCACGTATGCACATGTATGTACACCGAAAATGAACAGATCAGGAGAGGGCTTGGGGATGAGCTGGACCGAGCGAAGCGTGTCTGGGTGAAGAACGCCCTACGCACGGGCGAGGACAGCCATATCCACGGACAGTGGCGCGAGCTTAAGGCGAGTTACCCCACAATTGCACCACACGGTGTGCCACGTGGTATTCTGTACCACCATTCATTATTTGTTCTACCCATCAGACCTTTATTTTCATCGTCCAGCAAATCGATTTTGTTTTTTCGTCATGTTCGTCCCATCCAGTTCCCACCGGTTGCACTTTTTTTACCACAACGAACGGTGACACGCCTCTCTTACTGGAGAACTCCTCCCACCCGGGGGTCAGGACAAACGGAAACCTATCTATCGCGACGACCACCACTGATTCAACAACCCACACGCATGCATGATATGTGTGTGTGCACCCAACCAACGCTGGTCGCTGGGACCAACAGGCGAAGACCAGGAGCCTGGTGGCACGAATAGATCGCCTAGAGGCGCAGATGGAGCGCCAGCAGACGCGGGACAAGAAGGCCCGCGTGCAGGCCGCGAGGTCGATGCTGAAGCGTCGGAGCGGGGTAACCCGGGGCCACAGGAAGGTCACGCAGGTATATGTGTGTGTGGGGGGGGTGTTTTATTGTCAGCCTTGCCCGCGCTACCCGGCTGGCCAATGACGTCAGTCTTAGTGCGTTTAAAAACAGAAAATGCCTCTGTCTATGTGCGCACGTGTGTGCTTCTCTCATTTCGAATCGACCGCGCTACCCGGCTGATCAATGAAAAGCCGTCAGTCTCAGTGCTGTAAAAAAAAGACGCGCGTGCGTGCTTCTTTCACCTAGATTCGACCGACCGCGCTGACCGGTTGACCAATGAGGGGGCATCAGTCTGAACTCGGATAGAAAACGCGAACAAGCTTGGTCGCCAGACTCTCCCATCAGGGGGGGGTGGAGGAGGTTTGACGACACGGCCCAGTCTCTGTATTCCAAATTACACTCATTTGTGTCTTTTTATGATTACTCTTCGACAGCCTCAGGAAGGGGGAAATGTAATGGGATTTGACCGCTTCCTTCAGAATCAATCACCTTAAGGCTGTGTGGAACTCTCTTGTCCGACCACAGATGCAGGTTGTTGTTGCTTTCCGTTGTTCTCTTTCTCTATATTTTCGCTTTCCCAAGCCAACTCACACAGATCCCAAGCACACCCCATCATCCGACCGTACGCACTCTGAACGGAAGGGCACATGGCTCGGCTTAAAGCGCAAATCCTGCATGACGTCACGTCATAGCACATGGCACATGATCGATGCGATTTGTTATGTCTTTTGTGCCTTGAATTCCATGGGGCGGGGTAGGGTAATGTTCTTGCCTCTTTGTTGGAAATCGGGGTGGGGGGGGGATTCCTCGCTGTCGACGACTGTAGTCTCTGGATCATAGATCCTTGCATCACTGCAAAGCCGAGACAGGGCATCGTCAGGTGGGTAGGCTTGATGTTCTGCGGGGGGAGGGGAGGGCTAGTTGTACGTCAGGAAAGCACCAGGCCCGAAAGGTATTCTATTCTAGCGGGGCTTGATAGTTGTGCAGCCAAACGCATTTGGAACTTGAAACGTCGGCGCTCCCCCCGCGCGCCCTTGTCCGAGTGGGCGAGGGTCATATGGAGCGCGCCCAAGGCAAAGGAGAGGGGGGAATGGGAGTATAGCAGGGTTGTATCACATAAACGAATCCATCTTGCGAGCTTGCGTGACCTTTCCCAGTTTCTGTGATGCACCCACGCTGACACTTGAGACCCCGTCTATGGTCTATCGTCAAGGCCCAGCGAGCCTCCCGCAAAGTATGTAACAATACCTTGCTTGATCATCATTGGTAAGATGAGCACAAGACGCCCCCGTACTACTGCTTTTGTAGAGCCAGGCTTGGTTTCCTGTTTTACCTGACCGCATATCAAAGTTCGATTTTTTCACTACAACGAGGATGATACATCAATCGAAACGTTTCTGAACGCTCTGGACGAGACGGTTCCAACGCCGCCACTTGTCACCACCGCCACTCTTTCTGCCGTGGAGTAATCAGCTCTGAAGATCACTCCCGGGGGTGTTATATCTTGTGTCACCTACGGGAGTTGTGTGTTGTGTCGGTTTACCCGGGGTGCTTCTGGTGTTCACCGTACAGCAGCCAAAAAAAAAAAAAAACACGAATTTTGACTTGTCACGGCCGTTCCTTGAAACTGATCGATCCACGATTAAAACAAGATGGACTCCGCCGAGAATCTACGGACTTCTACCGTGTCTTCGAGCAAGCGTCTCGCCATGATTCGCAGCAGCCTCAACGCTAAGTTCTCGCTGCACCAACAGGGGGGGAGGCGCGTGGAGCGGACGGGCAACAGGGTCATCGGCGAGATGGTGAGTGCACGCAGCCCCGACCGACCTTTCATGAACACCCTCTCCTTCTAGGTGCCTACCGCAGTATTTCTGAGTGCTACGTAGATAGAACAATGCTGCACGCCCGTGTTCGAGCCCACTATCGTTCTTGCAAAACTTCCCTCTCCGTTGCTGGAATCAATCCCGACAAGCTTTCTGTCTCGCCCGATAGAGGGAATCAGGGGATAAAGGGGCTGATTTCAACCACTAGTGTCCAGACACTATTGTCTGCAGAGGGCAAGGGCTCAACGTAAGGGGCTTTTCCATTGAGCGTTTCCAGAACCAGCGACTTGAGGGGTCATGCCTCTTGAACAATGGGTAGTCGACCAAGCTTCGTCCCACACCACACGTTGCTGTACAGGTTCAATGAATGCGGCAGACGTGGAAGGAAAGACCACTGGGTTCGGTCATGCCACGCGAAACACTTGATGTTGGGTGTCGTTCATTTCGTGTCGTGAATGTCTTGTTTCTTCGCTTGTGGTTTGATCCAAGGTACCTCTCGCTGGATGCCGAAAACTACGAATAAATACGGAGTGCTAATGTGCAGTCACACCCATACGCACGTGCGCTGTATCGATTGTAGCACTCTTGGTTTCTTCTCTCGCCTAGGTCGTTTGTCTCTCCTCTCTTGCTACGCGCACGCCATCATCGTCAACTTTACGAGTGCGTCCCACGCAAGCGTCCCGCGTCGGGCCGTCGGCGAACAAAACGCAACGTGTTCGCTCGAAATTTCACGCGGCGTTGAGGTAGTGCCAGCGAAATCGAGAGCAGCAGGCCCTTCTTTGTTGATCGAGAGGCACCTAGCGGGTGCGTCTGGAACCCGTAAAATCCGTACGGAACCCCAAGTAAACTCGGGGCGAGTTCGCACTCACACCGACACCGTGATTTCGAACCAGTTCACGTATGCATGTTTGCCGCGTACGTCCTGTGAGAGAGTCTTTCAAGCCATCATTGTGCGTTTCCGACCGTGAAACCGCCGGCCATCGCATCGCGACGTGCCCACGCAGGACGCGCGCATGGTGATCCGAGGGGAGTTTCCGGACGCGCCGCCCGGTGATGGCAGCGAGGGAGCAGCGGCACGAACATCATCGGCGGCACTCACCGTCGTGCGGTCTACGAAGCGCTCGAGAGCCCTGATATACACCGGCGACCTCGGCAGGTAGCGCAAGCAAGTGTCAAGTGGTGCCCGGCCGGCCCTGACCACGCTGGTTTGTGTAGCATGCAGTGCCCCGCGCTGACACATCATCATCTTTCCAACTCCCCCTATAATGCGTGGTCTGTGAACGTCATAGTTTGTCCTTGATCCGATAGGCTGAATAGTTCCTAAGGGGTGTGCCAGTGAGAGTTTCCCGCGAAATACCGGTTTGATTTGTTTCCACGGGGGGGGGGGTATGTAGCAATGGCGACAAGGGCAACGCTGAGAAGATGCGTAAAGTGTGTTTGTTTGAGGTGCAATCGATTGTTCCATGCCAGCCGCCGGAATATGGAATCAAGAGAGGGCTCTCAAGCTTGTGGGGATTAGCAACATTTTTCATTCTAAGTTGCCACGACGGACTCTCTTGTGTCCTGCCTGGTCTGTTCCGAACATGGAAGCGGGTTAAAGTTGGAACGGTTCAGTGCAAAGACAATAACAGCAACAGCAACAAGAGCAACGACAATTGTGGTGCACAGGGTACAGTTACATTTGGTTGTGCCCGAGGATTATCCAAGTCTAATGCCTGCGTGGCATGTAACTGCCATATCCCGCAAATACAATATCTCGTGCTTGCTCTCAGATCCTGGCAGCAGATAGTGGAAGACACGGTGATGCAGGACTTCCGACGCAACGCCTTCGCAAGGAAGGACTCTATGCCGTATCTCCAGTACAGTGTGGTGCTATCCCTGGGTAAGAGCTTGGTAATCGTGTGGTAATAGTTATTGCAGGGGGACGTGTGCTGCAGCTTTTTCTTGTCCAAATGCCTGGAAGTGCGCCGTGCGTGCCTGCAGTGACTTGCCCTCTAGGCTAGCATACCACCCACAAGCAATGGTCTGAGACCCACATTTTTTTGTTACTCTTGAGCACTTTGACACGAAAGAGCAGTACATGAGCAGACGTAGCAATCGTAGGTTGTGGTTTCGAGCGGCCGTAGGCGTAGATTATTGCGTACCACCCTTGCTTCTTGCAAACAGCTTCAGTGACAACCCTATCATCTATATTAATGTAACCAAACAAGTGCATCCGCCTTGTCCCGGAGGATGGAAGCGATTCCACCTACGAGGGCCAAGATAAATTCGCGCGCCACATGCTACCACAGTGGGTGGACCGAGAGAACAACAGTTTTGCCGTTCTGCGTCGTTTTAGGGCAATCGTAAATTCGTAAGAGTACGTATGCATACTACCGGTGACGGATTTATGGAGGGGACTTCTCATACGGCCACTACCTCGAAAAACGGTTGTCGAGGACGACCTCTTCGTCGACTCCAAGGCGAAAAGGGGGAACCATCCTCGACAGACGTTGGCAGATGTGACTCTTGTGCAAGGTCTTTCCCACACTTATTTTTTACCCTTGCGAGGATCTCACGAACTGGGGCACACGAGTTCCTCTGGCTCGTGTAAGGCGCCCGTGACGGTGGGTTGGAGACACTGGGCAAATATGCGACATAGCAAACCTCGACAGCAACAGGTCATAACGTCAATCGATTTTTGCACCATAGTTGCCCTCGGAGGGCTCTACACGTGATTTCTTCGGCGTCGTAGGAAAAGGCTGCAGCAATCCGACATCGTCACAAATTCTATGTACGCTAAATTGCGCCGACACACACTAACAGTGGAGAATCATCGAGGAACACAATCAATTTGCGCCTGCCGTTGCTTTCGCTGCTGCTTGCAATTCCCACCCTATCAGATATGATGGCCGCTACCGGGAACACCGATGGGCCGTCGGCATCCGCTATGGCAGCAGCAGCAACGGCGGCGGCGGCGGCAGTACCAACCGGCGACGCAACCACGGCGAACGGCAGCGGGCGGGATGCCTTAAGGCGGGCTTCAATTGGCAGCACGGCGTCGTCGGGCTTGGAGCAGCGGCGACGCCGAGGGCGGGAGGGCTCGGCGGGGGGGGGCGGGNAGCGGCGACGCCGAGGGCGGGAGGGCTCGGCGGGTGGGGGCGGGTCGGGGGCGGCCCGCGTCGTCCTTGAACCGATTATTTGAGCCTCTTGTGTTTTGAGTTTCTTAGGGCTCGCCCACAACAGCCTAAGCAAGCGTGGTTATCGACGTTTTTCTCTTTGTCTCGATTTTTTGGAGTTTGACTGCGTCGTCGAGTGGCCTGCCTTGTGCTTGGATCGATAATTTGAGCTCAGAGGTTGCCGACAAGCAACACTTCGCGTGGTTTTTGATGTTGGTCCTCTCTCGGTTGGTTGGAACTTGACTAATAGACAAGTATGCAAGCTGCGGCCATGGCGGCAGCAAAGGCTCCTCCCTCCCCCGGGCCTCAACAGCAAAGGCCATGACCAAGCAATACAGAAGGGGCTCAACGAATCGGGGGGCGGGGGCGGGGGGAGATAAGCCATGTGCCTCGCGCTCGACGAGCCCATGGCCTTAGGGGGAGACAGCACACAGTGAGACAAACACCATGCTACGAACAACGAGAGACGCCTGAACACACCACGTTCCCGATAAAAAGGCGGCGAGCAGCAGCGAGACCTTTTTGCTGTACGCGCAAGCGGTTGATTGTTGGACAATTTGCTCCAGCGACCGCAGAAATGAAAGAAAGTTGATTCGGTTCCGTGCGATGACACGGCACGCGGCGGTGCCCTTCTCCAAGAAACCCTTACGGGTAATTTTCACGGACCTACCCAATAGTTGTAGAGGACAGTACTCCACTAACCCCCCCTGGTTTTACTCCTCTAGATCACGACATACTGCTTGTCATCGCTGCGATATGGAACCTAATCGGTGTTGTGTTCTGCCAGCCTCATATTGCCGCGTCACACTAGCGATCTCTCTTGCCTGTGACTCTATACTTGGCGTCAACCGGCTAGCTAATACACCTCACCCAACCCCCGGTTGCGTTGACAACAGTGCCTCGGAGAGCTTGCCTACCATCTACAACCCATACAACCACATATCGGAGGATATTTGTTTTGCTATCGGCTTTGTAATCCTTTTTCTTCGCCCGATACTGCTGCTAGCTGGGCCTCCCTTCTACAAAAAACATATCTAGCACTGCTCCTCTTTTGACTAGAACGTACACCGCATGCTCACAAAATTTTATCAGGAACAACACTGCTGTAACAAAAAATACCTACCCTGAGTATTGATTTTCTCCGGGAACACGCGATGAATCTAGCGATATCTCGAGGGTCATCGTGACATGCGGTGTCTTGAAAGCAAAAGGCACACGCATCACAACACCAATTATTCGTTACGTATCTTGCTGCTGGGGCAGACACAATTCGCTGGGGACTGGTCACGTTCTTATCACCGCGCCCGCATGTACATTCCACCTTACCGACTTATCCTCCGCAACCTTACAAATTCTCGGGGGAGAGTAAAAGCAACCCCCCACTACCAACACCCATCGGCAGCAATTGGGTTTTATCCCCCCCGAGACCGCCACAGATTTGGGGACTGCAGCAACACAAAACACTTGGAAAATGAGAGAAAAAAAATCTTGCGTTACTGCGGGGTCAGCTGACGCTGACATTGGTCCAACTCCGTCCTCCCTCTGCCTGGTATCGGTATCAAGGACGGTATGAGATCTCCGGGCTTTCTTTGCATAACGCCGTTGCTACAGCAGATCTTCACCACGACCAGGTCGCAGCAGACGTAGCCCCCGGTGCAGTCAAAGCTCGTCTCGCACGCCAGGGGCCCTTTATAATCTATCGGCCACATCCCCTTCTTCTTCTTCTTCTTCTTCTTGTCCCTCGCAAGATTTCTTTCGTCTTTTTTCGTGTCACCGCGGCTGCTGGTGTCGTCCTTGTCTTGGTCGCTGCCCTCCCTCCCGTCAGGCGGCGACGACGACGCACCCCCCTCCTTCCCCGATTCTGCGGACCCCCCTCCCGCACCCTGCGGGGAAGCCTTCCAAATCATCACCCCCCCGCCGTCGTTGCTGCCGCTGCTGCTCCTGCTGCTGCTCGCATCGAACCCCACTGCTGCCAGCAAACCCTTTCTTCGTCTCGTGATGCTTGCTGCCCGCACCTCCGCCAAGCCCTGAAACGCCATCGCCGTCCCGCTCAGGTCCATCGGTATTCTTCTCTCGAATTTCCCCCCACTCCTTCTGCCGCTTCGGTCAAAGTCGTCAATCTCCCCCCGGACGCCGCCGCTGCTGCTGACGCTTGTCATACCCGGGGCCCCCGCCACGCCGCCGCTGCGCCCCTGCGTCACCCAGGAGGGGAGCTGCATCCAGGCCTGCGCGAACGGAGGCTTGACCGGGGTCCCGTTGACGATGATCGTCTCCAAGTCGTGCCGCCGGACCAGGCCCTCCGTGCTGAGGCCGTACACGCTCGTGCCGTCCAGGTGCACCGGTCTCGCCACCATCGGCGTTGCGTCCAGAACCAAGTGCCAGGTTACGCGCACCTACAATCGCGGGGGAGGGCTTCTATTATATTGCATGCCTTGGCCATTGACCACGCGTCCCCGGGAGGACGGAGCATTGTTCCCCACAGAACCGATCACCGATGGCCAATCGTTCCTTCCTACTTTGCCACAGCAGGTGGCTCAAAAATGTTTTATGTAGCGTATCTATCCCATCGATATCAATCGGGGGGGGAGGGGGGTGTACTAATGTAAACGCATGCCGTAGTCGTTAGACCATTGACCTCACATAATTACAACGCCGGGAAACCCGTCCAAGGCTGCATTTCACAAGGATGGACCAGGAGCTGCTCGTCATCCTTGTGTTTGTCGTGGGAGAGGGGCGGGGGGTACAGAAAGGCGGTAGTTCAGGCGCAAAAGCCTTACACTTGCATGAAACGCCGCGGAAGTCGTGTAGAAGGAACTGTGGCAACAGGCCGTACAAACGGGGAAAACAACAAGAGGTATGGTACACTAAAACGGGCAACACACAAACTTGTAAACAAGAAAATACAAAACACGTGAAATAAAAAGATAAAGTGCACCTGCTGTCTGGACCCGTCGTACGAGAGACGGAAAACCGTCGAGACGTCATGGACAAGGGTCTTCCGCACGAAGCGAAACGTCCCAAACATGCGCTTGTACGCCGGCAAACCCGTGAGAATGACGCCCGACTGGTGTGGGGTGTGGGATGTGTCCCCAAAAGGCATGGGTAAAGTCCCAAAAGGCATGGGTCAAGGGAGGGAGGGCACGGAAGAGGGGCGAGGGGTCAAGGCACTTTCGACAGAGAAGCACGGGTTTTCCGTCCAATCACCGGCCTTCTGCGCCATAAGAATAGCTCTACCTGGGGAGTACGGTCGCTACTGCATTGCGGCAAAGACGCCCTCGCGACATCCAACAAACTGTCTGACCGAAAATCATACGGGCGAAGGTGGATGAATAGGTTTCAATAACACGAGTCCAGCTGGACAGGGTTTTCGTTTCGAGGCAACAACGGTCGATTTTGAAGAGGGCACGCGCAATTAAGGTTTTCGGGCTCGATTCATGTAGTCAGAGGACAAGGCCGGTTTCCGTAGGAGCGCGATTTTGTCTGCCATCGTTTGAGCAAGAGCTTGGTGTCTGACATTGTTTGAGACAGAGATTGGCCTGAAAACAACTATTGTTTGTGGCTCTGCCGTGGATTTCCGGGTGTACAGCCTCCCTCTAACACGTTCCTGGTGCTGTTGCTCTGTGTCGATTAGGGGTAGCCGGTGTTTCAGTTGGGGCTCGCAGCACAGGCGATACTTGAGTCTGAGTCTCACGCACTTCTTCTTCAGTGCTGCTTACGTCTCCAGGCTAAGTTTCTTTATCCCTTGTGTATTGCAGGAGTTAGGGTGGAACTCGCTACTAGACCGCTGCAGTCGCGAACATCATGCCTGACCACAAGGTCATGGAGAACCCAGGTATCAGCTAGCGAAGGGATGGCACGCTAAATGTAGTATGGTGGCCATTCCCCTTGGCAGAGAACAGGCACTACAGGCGGGACAATGTCGGGTGGGTTGTACTTACTTCATTTCATTTCGAAGTACGATAACGGTTCACATGTTCAGATGCTCTGAATGCTGGTTTGGACACAACACAAGTGTTTGCCTCGCATGGATCTCGGTATCTCCCTCTACTCTCTACTGATGCCCAAGCTGCACCGCTGAATGACGAGGAACCGCAGTAATAAAGCAGAGTTCTGACCTGCTAATACTTGTATCAAACATCCACGAACCCCCCCCCTCACTCTATTCCTGCAGTGCGAGCTGAATATAATAGTGCATCCCTGTCCTCGGGTACCCGAAAAATAAACAGGGTCTACCCCCCTGCGCCCCGAACTGCAGGGACTTGCGAAACACAGATAACGTTGGTGTCGTTTCGCGCAACACAAAACAGGTGTGTCGGGGCAACGCCTGAGTCACAGCGTGGCACAGTCATGCGAAGGTGTTTGCTGCGAGTGAAGTTCAACAACAGCATAAACCTTAGTCCTCCTTGATCCCCAAACCTTTAGCATAGCAGTCATCAGCAGCAACACCGATGCAACGCGCGCTCACCGGATCGCGCAGCTGCAAGTCGGGTGTGTAGATGTCGAAGTTCAGCGGTTCGTCGAGCATGGTGGGGTAGTCTTCTCGCAGGGTGTCGATCACTTTACCCAGATTGGTGTTGAACTCAGCTTGTTCTCTCTTCTCTTTCTCCTTTTTCTCGCCCTCGTAGATCTCTCCTGCGGGCATCGGAGACCTCGCCACCGAGGGAAAGACGCCCTGGGATGCCTGACTCGCAGCACCGCACGTTCGTCGCATGCTAACCTTCAACTGATGGTGCTTGACCCTTTGGCTGCAGCAGTTCCTGCTGCTGCTGCTGATGCCGGCGTTGACGAAAGCCTGCCGCGCCGACGACCCAACATCTGCAGGGTAGCAAACCAACTCCACCAGGCAAAGCAGCAGTGTCCCTTTCCTCTTAGAGCAAGCCATGGTACGCGCAACACTGCTAATCATGTGTCTTGCTTGACCAGTTCGGACATGCATGCCATGTGTCATGACATCATTACAGCATATCGTGGTAATCGTCCGTACGTCCATGTACCCCCCACGCCTTTTGCTCCCCGCGGTGCCCCCGTGTAAGATCCAAAGGGTGAGACAGAAGATCGCGCCATCCTCTCGCATCCTCTGTCCTCCTGCATCGCACCATCGCACATCGCACCCCGAGCCCAACCAAGCGACACATCACACAAGTGCTCTCGACAGCCTGTTGCTCCCGCATGGTCGATACTAATAATAAGCGTGTGAAATTTGTTGGGGTTTGTTTACCGACAAGGTTCCATACAGCAGTTGGCGCCTGCCTGCAGTTAAGAAACGCTTTTTTCAGGTCCAGCCTCGAATTCTTTTTGTGGGCTGTAAACTCAGCGTATGTCGTTCAGTTTCTTATTTCAAGTTTCTTATTTTTTCGTGCAGCCAAATCCTGCTGAATTTCTTAAATCGGCAATTTCTTACTATTTCTCTGCTTGCATAGTCTACTACACAACGTTCCAAATATACAGATGATTTGCACTGCTTTCCTCGACCCCCGTCCTCAACCCTGATTCTCACTACCGACGGCTGCACGTAAGGCCACTCCCTAGAAGCGAAATGTATCCAGCGGCAACGTCTCGCTATCGCTACAAGGTCCTGTACCCCCCTCATGAGTGAGGGCTGAAACTAAACAAATGCATCAACACCGCATGATGCCTCACCCGCACGCTGACGTGCCCAACAACGAAAACTACCCCGTCATTATGATGCAAGCTCCGTGAGGCGAACATTGGGGGTTGTCACCCTTTTGCGCCCGCCGCTCCCTTCCTATCTTTTTGAAACATTTCTTGTTGTGTGACCCAGATTAAGCTAGGTTTCTTGACCCTATTCTCATATTTTTCGTGAAAAAGTGAGCCTCAATTTCTTAATAAAATATTTCTTAACTGCGGGCGCCAACAACTGCTGTATGGTATGGTTTCGCCAAATCATTTGTGTCCCGAAGGCCATTATTGAGTTCGTTCTCGCGGTGCCCGTTTCCTCGCGAAGCTCGCACTTAAATTATTGGCAACAACATGGCACCCGCATGATGTTTGTATGCATCAAACTCCCTCTCATGGTTGGGTTGTACGCATGGATGTATGTGTCGTAGGTGTCACTATGGATTACAATAATAGCTCATGGATCGGGGTGGTTGTAGCTGGCACAACAACCCAATGGCAACGTGTACGTACTCGGATTTGACGCCGAGGTACGTTGTCAACAAGCTACCGTGAAGAGGCGGAGGAGTGGCACCCCCACAAAGCCGACTTTCAATGTTCGATTTTCTCCACAACCCAGGGGTTGGTTGCAGAATACGTGGACGGAAAACTCTGGACGAGATGTTTCCAAAACCACCGCCATTTTGGTGTTGGCACGAAAGCTTGGTTGTGAAATAATCGAGCCGTGAAAAATTGTCTAGGGGGTGCCATCTCTCCGCCTTGTAATACGGGATTTTTCAACACGATCCATCACGGGACGGGGTCTATTGTACGGTTTGTTAGTGACACTTTAGGTCTAACCGGTGTTGAAGGCTAGGACACACCGTGGCCGACCTAACCCAACCCGACCCCAACCCTCACCTACGGCCAACGCACGGCCTAGCGGCCGCGAACTGGGCGAGAACTCATGCGGAACGGTGAGAGGGCGCTGGAAAGGGTCAACGCTAGGAACCAACGCGTGACCAATCAGAGGGCGTGAAACCGTGTAGATGGGAATAGTCACTAAAAACTACCTGCACGGGAAGTTTGTGACACATAATCCATGCACCATGGGCAAAACACAACCATCCATATTAATACCGGTCTCGCAACCCCACGAGTTTATGGTTCCTCCCTCACAGAGAGACTTCGTCAGACAGGTAAATTAGACGCACTCACTTCGTGAGCGTCTACAGCTAGGTACTGTTTAGATCTACTCTGGCACATGCCGTTTTGACAGCTCATTGACAACTGTGAGGTAGATGCCAATGTGCATTTCGTCTATATTGAATGAGCATTGCGACACCTTGAAGCAAAAACAGCTTCTCAACGAGCGCCGGGTATGCATTGCGTTGATGCCATAGGAGTTGCTCCCCCCTCTTGCCAGAATACGCGGTTTATTTTTCGCCTCGGAGGTCCCCGAAACTTTCATGTACCAATCCCGAACAAATCGACGATCATAAAAGAACAAAGGACTCCATCTAAGCCAACAGCACGGCAACCGCCAACAAAATCTTCTGGATAAAAGAAATAATGCACAAAGCGGTGGAAAATCGAGACCACGAGCAACAAAATTGGTGGCATTGACCTGACGTTGAGCATCCCCCGCCACCGGTCGTCGTACATATTCGCACAGCATGCATGTCGTAACAACGTCGCTTCCGTCTCCAAGATCAGCGCAACTGCGCCTGCCTCCTTATCTTCGTCGCTGTCTGTCTTCTTCAGCTGCCCAAGGACGCTGCTAGGCGATGTGCGCTCTACATCGGAGAAGGTGGCACGCAAGGTTTGACCAAATCAGGAAAGTACGTGCCACTACTTAGTCCCTTTCTTTTGTTGAGTTTTCAACCTCAGACAACAGCATCCCGTGTGCCTGACCCCGCCACGAAACTGGCCACCCGACCAAACCCTAACAGGTAGCAAGCACGACCTGGTACAATCAATTTAAATGCCACATTATGCAACCTAGAAGATTTCTCCTCCTCCTGCCAACAAAACAGAATAGAAACATGCCAATCACACCATTCGTCCTTCTCCTACCAAATACAACCGCATGAGCAAAATCATGCATCCACCAAAGCACGCAACCTCTCGGAATGCACCTCTTCTACACCGACACTCCTTCCCTCTCCGCCAGGGGCCGCAGCAACATCACCCTCGGTTGCTGCCGCCGGCGCTGGCGGCATTCGGCGGATCGCGGGCACTTCGGGGGTCAAGCAGGTGGGGTTGACTCCCGCCTTGTGGCAGGCCAGGACGCCGACGGCCTCAAGGTAGGATGAGACCGTCACGCAACGATCCGAGACGCTGCTGCTGCTGCCGAGCATAGCCCCTGCATCCGCCTTCATCACGGTGGCGTTGTCCTCCACCGCTATCAACAGCGTCGTCGCCTGCCGGTACATATGACACCACAAAAAACAATGAGTGGGGTGAGGGGGTACTCAAGAGAGAAGGCCTGTTGTCTGGGCTATTGAAGAACCCCGCAAGACATCAGCAGGCACGGGAATGCACACACGGTCTTCGCAAGTACACAGACAATCATGAATAGATCAAGAAACACGGATGAGCGCAACTACATGCAAACCACTTGAGATGTTAATCGATGACGAACTTGGACGCGCGCCATACAATCATCAGCTAGACGGGAAATAACCCGACGTAAGTCTGTCATCACAACCACCACCACCGTGGCTCGCTACAACACAAAGACAGCGGCTCCAACCATCATCGCTTGTCTTGCCGCACCAACCTCGGGGGTGACCGTACCTGTTCTGCGAGGCTGAGAACCCCGGCTCCCCCGAAGGCAGAGGCCGGAGCGACGACGGCATCGACGGCATCGGCCCACAGCGCCTCCCCCGCCCTTGGGTGCTCTCTGCTCGTGATTATGGACGGCGCCCTGCCGTGGTCATGGCGGAAACCATTCCGCGCGTGTGGACTACGTGTAAGAACACGCAAGGGTTGTGTGTTTCTCCGTCTTCACTTCAAATCAGCGCTCACAGCACTATAATAGTGCCGTTTACTCCAACCCGTGGTCACACAGAAGAGTCCCTCTCTACCCTCCCCTCCTGCGGTACTTTGCCTTCGATTTTTATTGCGAGTAGAGTTCAGCACTCTCTTCCCTCTGTGTACATACGAACTAGCGCTATCCACTGGGCCAGGAGCGTAAGCGAGAGAAAAACTTACGTTGCAAGAAAAGCTCGCTTACGCCGGGATTCGAACCCCTGACCTGACCTCTAGACAAGAAGGTTTCGAGGTTGCCAACTAGACCACCGGGGCGACCGGCAGAAATATGTGTGTCAAGTGTCGAAGCTCATCGTGAAGCAGCATATAGCCAACGAGTCGCGGGCAAGGCGATGCTCGAAGTGTTACCGCATCATTCTGCATCACTTTAAGCCAGCGCTCAGGGCATTTCTGTCGGGTGAGAGCTCCAATCCGTGGTCACACAGAGTAAGGGTGAAAGGGTTCCTCTCACTGCGGGCCGCGTAACCACCCCTCCTACGGCGCTTGCGTTCGATTCTTAACGCGAGAAGAGTGCAGCACTCTCTCAGCGTGCACACGAACTGTTCCGACACGACGACCAACAAATCGAGACAGCGAAAAAAACAATCACCAGTGTGCTCCGGAAGTTCAGACAAATGAGCACAAAAACCCGCGGACATCACCCCGCCGCCTCCCCACGAACATCGACCCTTTTCGCACCTATGAAGGTTGGAGAGCACGCACGGCAAGAAGGTGTAGCCCAGCTCCTCGGCGCAGGCCCTAGGGCTCACGGATTCGTCAACGTCGATCGGGGGCAGGGCTGGCGCGTGCGCGCAGGGAACCTTAAGCTTCTGCGAGGCACGAAATCAAGGGGGGGGGGTAGAACAAAGGGTCTGGAGAGGGCTTGACGGGGGGGGAGGGGAGGA